TAAAAATAAATAAATAAAATAAATAAAAGGGGAGTGGGTAACCTCTTTGGATAAGCAGCTGTGGGCCATAGGATACACCCACCCTTCACTCATCCCCGCACTCCTAAGCAACCCCCAGATGGCGCTGTCTCACTGTCCCCATCACAACGGGAGGCTCGGCTGGTCTCCAGAACTACAATACGCTAACTCACTCTCCGGGCTCTGAGCAAATACTCAAAAAAAAGTTTCCCCAGGAAGGATTTCCATAGATTTCTACTCCTCCCAGAAAGTGGGACATCAGAGACCCAGCTACTCTTCCTACCTCCTAAATACTTCTGACCACAGCTCCCCCTTCAATCCTGGTCCACCCAGATCCCCACTCGCTCAGCCTCCCCTGGTCTCCTGAGCAAGTCTGCTCCTCATGGCAGCCAGAGGGGTCTTCATAAAGCACAAATCTGACCTCTCCCTCCCTGCTCAGAACCTGCCATGGCTACCCAGTACAGTGAGGAAAAAGTTTAAGTTTCTTACAACCTCCCACAAGACCTTGGGTGACCTTGGGTCTCTTGCTGGCCCACCAGTCCAGCTCCATCTCCTGCCATGTGTCAAACTCTGTCTAAGCCACCTTGGACTTTTCCTCCAACAGATGTTATTTCTAGGCCTTTGTACATTCTGTTCTTTCTGCTTAGAAGATTCTCTTCCCGAACACCCCTTCTCCCCATGCCTTTTTTCTCCTCGAGAACTCCTACTTATGCTTTAGGCCTCAGCTCTGATGCCTCCTCCCCCCAGGAAGCCCTCCCTGAACCCCAGGCTGGGTCAGAAGTCCTCTGTGGGCTCTTGAAGCCCCTGGGCTCCCCATCCCAGCCCTGCCTGTTCTGGTTGGGCATCATCCGGGGATGGGTCTGTCTCCCCTACGAGACTGTGAGATCCGGGAGGGTAAAGCCAGGGCTTCCTCGATCACCTCCGTGTCCCTGGCACACAGGTGGGTACTGAAAGTGCACTTGGTGGAAAACTGATGCCCAAAGCCAGGGTTCTCCGAATCTATAAGGCCTCAGGTTCCTGAAGTCAAACTCTGTACTGTGGCTCAGGGCCCTGGGTCCTGCCTCCTCGCTCTCTTTCTCTCTCCTACCAGGAATGCCCTCCTCCCCCTCTTCATCCATCCCAGGCCTGCTTACCCTTCTCTGACCCAGCTCGGGGTGGGCATTTAAGAATCTGAGTTGCACTTTAAGAGCAACTTCTTAATCTTTAAAACCTTGGAATCGCCTTCTGGACCTTAGATTGATTCTTCCTTCCTTCAGTTCTTCCCTCTCTGTGGAACTCCTATAATACGCCAGGCACTGTTCTAGGCACTGGGGACCCAACAGCGGACACACAGCACACAGTGACAAACACTCTGACCTCACATTACTGTGGGTGGGGGAGGAACCTTTGGAACCATAGAATCTTTGGGGTCTTAAAAATCTTAGACTCTCAGAGCTTATGTACACAGAAGCACAGGAGAGACCACTGACGGTTCTAGAATCTCCTCAAGATTCTATAGAGACCATCTTCCTGCTCTGCCCTCATTCCCCACCCCCACCCCCCAGTCTGTTCCCCACTCGGAGCCCAGAGGGATCCTGTTAAAACTCAAATTAGATCCTGTCCTGCATCTGCTCAAACCCTTCTGTGGCTTACAACTCACTCAAAGGAAAAGCCAAAGTCTTCACTGGGGTCCATAAGGCCCCATGTGATCCCCCAGCCTCTCCCACTGACTCTGTCAGCTCCAGCCACACTGGCCATCAAATATGCCCAGGGGACTTCAGCCAAAGTACTGGCTATTCCCTCTGCATGGCTCCTCCCTCATGGCCCTTGGGTCTCTGCTCAGATGTCACCTGTCCAGCGAGCCCTTTCTTTGGACACTCTTTTTTCAAAATGTATCTCCCTATGACCCACATATTTCCTGTGCCCCATCCCTGCGTTTTTCTCCCCTAGTCATGATCACGTAGATTTTACTTATTATTTTGTTCCTTGCTGTGTGCTCAGAGCGCAGCTCAGTGCCTGGCACATAGCACGTGCTCAATAAATGTGTGCGGCCCAAATGACTGACTCCAGTTGTTCAGATGGGGAAACTGTGGCTCAGAGACAGAAAGGACGCAGGGAGAACCTCCCAGGCCCTGGCTCTCGGCATGCTCTGTCTGTCTGACTCTGGGCTACGAGGTGCCCAGCAGGAGAGAGGACAAAAATCGGGTCCTCAGAGACCAGTGGCTACGATAGCCAGACCAGCAGGTGAGGGGACCAGAAAAGAAAGAAAAAGGAATCATCCAGTACCCGGACACGGTTGGTCTTGACTTCCCCAACTATAAGGGCTCAAAACTCCTTTATCGAGGCAAAGGGTATGAAGCGATGATTCTGAAGGTCTGAATGTTCTGTTTCTCTGAATCACAATACGATGACAATATCAATAATTCTAGCTGCTCATGATATGCCAGATCCCTGCCTAAGCACTTTGCTTAAATTACCTTGTTTAATTTTCATGTTCTGATAACATTTAAAGATGAGGAAAAAGCAGTACAGAGAAGTGAAGTCACTCATTCAAGGCCACACAGCTGGGAAATGGTGGACCCAGGATTTGACCCACAACACTGGCTCTAGAGTCATGTTTTCAACCAAGAAGCTCTGCTGTCTCTCTTGGTCCACTCAGACAGCCCAGCTCGCTGTCCACCTTCAGTGAGCATTCTGCGGCCCTAATCTGACGGGTGCTTTTCAAAGCTGAATACTGCACATCACTTAATGAATTCAACCCATTAACTCAACAGACAGATATTTACTGAGTATCCTCTGTGCCAGACCCTGTGTTCTAGGGACAGGGAAAGATCGAAGCGGTCACTGGGCAGGCCCTCCAGAGGTAGGAAGACAAAAACCACACACAGAACTTACAGATAGGTCAGGAAACCAGCGGGGGGTGTGATAGAGAAAAGGTGGTCAGGGGAGGAGAGGACAGTTAGGCTGAGACTTTGTCTCTCCGTTCCTCACAAAACAATGTAAGTGGATCCAGATTCACATTAGGCCTAGGTTCACCCAGCCTGAGCTCTGCTGTGGACTGGGCCTCAGCTGCTGCATCTGTGGAATGGGAACGTGACAGGCAAAGAAAATGAACAATATGGGGGAAGGGCAGTTTCCACAGGAGTGCTGGTGACACTGAGGAACTTCTTACCTCCTAGGTTGCTGCAGGACCTCCGGGTGGGCGGTTCCAGCCCAGCTCAGCTGCACTGCTGAGGGAACGAGAACCAGAAAACCCCAAATCAGCCAATTTTGCAAAGTAGAGTATGATTTCACCTTACCTACAAAAGTGGCAGTGAGAAGGTCAGAGAATCCTTTACTCTTTGAAGTTCCATAAGCTCAGGCACCACCTGGGGTATCTCAGGAATGGGTGGGAAGGATATCAGTTATGATACCAACCTATAACCATCCCTTTCTTATGAATGAATGTGTCCAGAAAGGTGGGGCTAGAAGTGACCAAAGCTGTTACCATGACGACCTCTTCCCTAGACCTACTCCATCCCGAGACACAATCTTAAAACTGTCTCCTACCTTGGTGGGCCTGGTTCTTAGGGTCACGGGAAGGGGGACTGTCCTTGTTACCATAGTAACCAGGGGTTGGCCTTGCCTGTTTCCACCTCCTGGTCCAGGCCCTGTAACCATAGCAACGACTCCTCAGCAGAGCATCCTCTCTAAATAAACACACCTGGTTGGTTTGGTCCATGGACCTCCCACGATGAGAAAGGTGGGGGGAACAGGTTACCATGGTAATGCCAACTGGGTGGCTAGGGGGAGGGGTTGGGAAAGAGGTGTTCTCTCAGCAATCAGTGTCCTTGGGGCTGGGGTCCTTTCTACCTGAGTGCTAGGTGAGGTTGCCATAGTAACCAAATGAAGGTAGGGGCAGAAGGACCACCAGGGACTTAGGTTACCTTAGCAACCTCCTCCTGGTGCAGGGACAGGTGAGGTTTGGGGCTCCATAACCACAAAGGGGGACGATTCCAGGCTGGGGAAGGGTTACCATGACTACCGACCTGGACCAGGAATCAGAGAGGATGGGGCCACTGCTGAAACCACCCCTGGTGGTCACCCTTTCTCTCAGAGGGACAGTGTCAAGGAGAGTGACATTTGGGTCTGGAGGGGGTTAGAATTTTTCTTTGGGGCGAAGCAAGAGGAGAGGGGCAGAAAGCGGTTCCTCCCAAAGTCCAGCTCTTCCCAGGCGCGACCCTCGTGCTGGGCCTGGGTCTCAGCGCTCCTCGGGGCGCGCGCCTCCGCCCCGCCCCTTCCCTCCCAACCGCACGCGCGCGCGCGCT